AGTAGAAACTGGAGAGAACACACAGTCCTATTCATCACCAGGAGGGTTTTTATTAGCATTTCACTTAGATAACCTGTACTAACAAGCCCTGCCAGCACTGTGCTGGGGCAGGAGTAGAAGTAGGTGTGATAGTTGCATGGAATTGACTGTAGGTCTGGCATTATCCTACCTTCCCTCTGGATACTTTTAACAGGACTGTGATGCCAAATGACAATAATGCCCCAACTAACGTAATCTGGAGTTCTTTCTGGTTAGAAATCATCTTGAAGGATTATGTTTTATATTCTGTTATGTGGTTTCTGGAAGCTGAGAGTTATTTTTATTCAAAATATCAAAAGTTTAATAAAATTAGAATTTTTTTCCCCTTTAAATAGTGATTATTTTGCCAAGGCAGTTAGGCAAGAAAATGAAGTAGATTGGAAAGGACGAAGTAAAACTCTATTTGCGGGTGGCATGATCCTGTGTGTAGAAAGTCCTAAGGAGTGTACTTAAAGAAGGACTGGCTAATAAGCAAGTCCAGGATGGTGGTGGGTCAGAGATCAGCACACATGTCAACTGCATGTCTATGTGCTTGCAGTAAGCAATCTAAAAATGAAACTAGGTAGACAATTTATAATAGCACCAACAAGCATAGATTTGTTAGGAATAAATTTAACAGCAGTATAACACTTAAACAAAAATATCACGTGTTCATGTTTCGAGAGACTTAATATACTTGGTCCTCCTCAAGTGAACCTACAGATTTACCACAATTTCTATTAAATACCAGCTGATTTCTTGAAGAAATTGAAGTTGAGCCTAAAATTCACATAAAACTAAGGGAATGCAGAATAGCCAAAACAGTCTTGAAAAAGAAGAATAAAGTTAAGTCTGTGGTTCTGGCATGCAGATAAGCATATATATGTCAGTGGACTCATACTGGGTGTCTAGAAATAAACTCATTTATAGTCCATTTTCAGAAATGATACTGAGACAATTTAGTAGGGAAAGAATAATCGTCTTCAACAGATGGTGCTAGGTCAACTGGAGAGCCGCATACAAAAGAGTGAAACTGGTTCCTTTTTCACACTGTATACAGAATTTAACTCAGAATGGATTGGACCTAAATGTAAGAGCTAAAACCATAAAACTCTTAGAAAAAGAGTTTCCCTTGGGGTAGGCTATGGTTTCTTAGATTCGGCACCAGGAGCACAGGCAACAGGAACAAAAAATAAATAGAACTTCTTCAAAATTTGTGATGTTGATACTTCCAGAGACACCATCAACTGTGTGTAGATGGGGGGAACTATGTGTAGTGTATTTGCAGATCAAGTATCTAGTAGGATCTGCTATCTGGAATATATAAAGAACTCTGTTAACTCAATAAAAAGACAATCTAGTTTTAAAATGGGCAAATTATTGGGTTGTCGGAAAAGTCATGAAAAACATAAAAAAAAAAGTCATGACTTTTCCGACAACCCAATATTCCAGTAGCTATTTCTTCAGAGAAGATACATGAGTGACCGGTGAGCACATGCACCTCGGCATCACTAGCCGTCAGGGAGATGCCACCTCACACCCCTGGGATGGCTGTGGTCAAATAGAACAAGTGCTGATGAAGATGGAAGGAACGGGAATATTCATACACGCTGTCGGGAATGTGAGAAGGTGCAGCCACTTTGGAAAAACACCTGGTGGTTCTTCAGTAGGTCCAGCATAGTTCCACGCCAGGTATATAGCCAAGAAAAATGAACAAGCAAAAACATACAACGAATGTTCACAACAACATTATTCATAATAGTTTAAAGGTGTAAGTGACCCAAGGAGCTGCTGAGTCGTGGATCCCTACAGTGGCGTTATTTGGCTGATCCACGCCACAGCATGGACGAGCCCTGACAGCATCGTGCTGAGTGACAGGGAGCGTGAGGAGAGGTGACCGGCCAGCAGAGAGGGCGACCAGGTGCCAGAGGGGAGGGTGGGTGGATGTGCCCTGGGGCTCGGGAAGTTGGGGGAAATGAGGAGTGACTGCTCTTGGGCACAAGGTGTCTTTCTGGGGTGCAGGAAATGCTCTAAAATTGATTGCCGTGATGGCTGCTCGACTCTGGATATTCTCCACATCACTCTTTCGTCCACTTTAAATGGGTGAATTGTCTGGTATGAGATTTCTGTCTCAGTGCTGTTACTGTCTTTTACAAATAAGTTGTTTGAATTTATTTTCCTAGCTTTTATCAAAAAATGATCTGAGCAAAATTACTAGCAACAGTATTGAGAGTGCGAATATGAGAGTGCGAAATTCTCCCTGTTGGAGTCCCAGAGTAAATGGGCTTGAAGAATTAGCTGGTTGAGTCTGTGATTGCTGTGCACGCCTTGCCTTGCCTTTGCTGTCCTCTACTCACAGGTTTCCTCTTAACAGTTTCTCGCCATCCCCTGCCCCTCAGCAATCAAAGCATTCATCTAATGCCTTCTGTCACTTTGAAATATTCTAAATCATATTTTACTTTGAACCTTCCAGAACTAAGTTGAGTTCTGGCATACGTTTTATTCAAAATTTCAAATTCATCCATTATATCAGGTTTGCCCCAACTGTATTTAGTTGTCGTGTACTGTGTCTGCCATTTATGCAGGTATCTGCGTGAGAAACTGAAAGTATATAACTTGTCTTCATGTTTATATAATGATGCTGGAGTAATAAATAATGAAGTTAAGAAAATAGACCATTCCATCATTTTCTGGAAAGCCTAGGAGTTAATCTCTTTAAGAATAACAAATGAGTTAAATCCCCGTAAGAAGAGGTAAAGCTTTGATCTCTAGATTCTTTTCCTTTGAAAGCACCTGTGATGTGCAGTTCATCTCCTCTGAATAAAAGTTGGGGAAAAATCCGACAGTTGTTGCCCACCAGAGTTTTCCTTGAAGATTAAAATGTCATAGAGTTGACAGCCTGTTGGTATCACTAGCAAGCAAGTGCTCGCCTCAGAACGGAGTTTGTAGGATCGCCTTTGCTGTTACTCAGTGAAATCCAACAGTGACGCATTAGAAAAAGGAAGGGTGGACGGAGTTCATGTTGATGCATGTTTCCAAGATGTCTCAGGAACAGCTCGTTCCCCGTGGATGCAAAGGGAAACGGACTTTAATCTCAGAATGGCTTATTCTTCTGTTGTCCTCAGGGTCCCCTCAAATCTGTGGTGCTGGTGGGTTTAGCTGTATAATTTATCAGCACTGATGATATTTATTAGACACGCAATACAAGTGATAGGGTGTCCACAGAAGGGTTTTATGAGGATTTGGGATGGTGGTTTTTTTAAGTTTAGTAAGTAAGTTATAACTGGTGTATTTTCAATATTTTTATATTTGGTTGAATTTTTCTGGTGTAGATTTTTAATTGGTTGTAATACTAATTAAGTGGAATGTAGAGAATCCAAACCTGTCTTTGCTGATCATAAAACTGCAGGTTACTAAGCCCAGAAAACAGAAATGTGTTGTATCAGTAATGATCGTCAGTGGTTGCTGAAGTTAACGACAGTATGCTCATTGAAGGAGAGGTGGATTTGATTTTCCTGGCCTTAGGTTAAGGTATGGCTATGAGACTGTGGGCCTAGTAAACTCTATTTCAATATTTAAATGTGTCTTTTGAAATGGATCCACCCTGGGGGCCTGGTTGGGAGCCTGGTGGGCTGGAGGAGAGCACAGGGGGAGGGTTGTGTGCGGGCATTCACCTGCCTGTTCACACTGTTTGACTTGCACAGCAAGCATTACTTTTATGCTTTAAAAAGATACAGAATGAAAGTTAATATGCCTGTTATTGAGTAGTCGGTCATTTCAAGTTACTGAAATGTCCAGTTTTAAAAACCCGTAGTGTGTCCTGGTCTCTCTCCCTGCTGTCTGTTGCTCTTCCCAGAGTACCGGCTCTGGGCAGGCGGTTTTCGGAGTCTGCATCCTAAGGTCGGGTTGCAGTTCGGCTTTCCTCAGGTGGGGAAGGATACACTTAGGGCTGCTCTTTCTCTCAGGTGTTTCAGTGCCTTTTTATAGTCAGAGGAAGGTGATGAGTGTCCACACTCCAGGCAGCAGAACGCAGGAAGGACGGTCAAGAAGGCAAAGGGCGTAGGCCTCTTAAAAGATTCCTGGACGGGGCCTCCCTGGTGGCGCAGGCGGTTGAGCACAGCGCTGTGAAGCTGCCCGCAGCCTCTGCAGCGCCAGTTCAATCCTGGCTGGCCGGCAAGGGTCCCACATAGCGGGGAGACCTCTCCTGTCTCGCCCGCTGCTCCCCTCAGCAGTGTACTTCGTCAGTCTGCCTGATCTGTTCCCCGCTCTGTCTCTGGTGAATCCTCTCACCCTCCCATGTATCTGGCCTGTACCCCGGTTCTTGTATAAGTAAGTAAATCTTTTAAAAAAAAAAAGATTCCTGGACACCACCGGGGAATACTCCCACTTAATACTCATGGGCCGCAGCTTGGCCAGCAGGCAGCACCAGCTGCGGACATAGGCTTTCTCGGGTGTGGCCATTGGGTTCCGGAAGAGGAGGAGACCCCCAGGAAGGCTGCCCCCGGCAGTCTCTGCGCTGTGCCCCATGAAAGCTGTTCTCTCTCTGCCCTCCTGCCCACTGAACACCAGGGCCCTCCCGCCAGGACCAGGCCAGACCCAGGCCACCCAAACTGCAGCCTCAGCAGAATGCTCCCTGCACAGATGGGAACGTCAGCCTGATGCTGGCACGGGAGAGGCCAGAGAAATTTCCATCAGACTCAGGAAAGACGCTTGTCGTGAATGAGAAACTCATAAAGGGGCCAAGGCCAGCTTTTCCATGGCGCGCACTCTGTCCCCGAGGTTTCCGCCCTCTCGGGGCGGGCACCCGGCCCCTTTCAGCAGACCTTGTGTTTCTCACTGAGGCCTTTGTCTCCGTGCCGCACGCCTCGTGGGACGCACTGCTCAGAGACGACGGCGTATGCGTGATTGTGACATTTCAAGTCACTGGTATTTTAAACTAATAGGTGAAAACTCGTTTCTAAATGTGTTCTTTGTTACCACAGTGGATGAAGGCCGCAGCCAGGAGCCCGACCGACTGCAGGTGTTTCACAAGAAAGCTGTCCTGCCCTACGGGGTTTACAAGAAGCAGCAGAATGACCCCAGCGAGGAGGCATCCGTGCTGCAGTACGCCAGCCTGGTGGGGCAGGCGTGTTCCGAGAGGATGCTGCTCTTCAGGAACTGAGGCCCCGCGCCGCCCACAGAGGAGACTGTCTTATTTTGGCTATTAGATGGCTTTTCTAAAATATTTTGTGGCAATGTACTTGTGAGAATCTCATGGTTACTATAAAGATTTTTTTAAATGTTCTGACCTGGCCTCTGAACTGGGGCTTAGCGTTTTGGATGTTTGTTTTATGAACAAGGTGTGGTCAACTCTTACTGTTAGTGTTTTGGAATGTGAATCAGTGAGTCCCGAGTAATCTAAATGACAGTCATGCGTCTCTCTTCTGTTAGAGAAATTAAGCAGCTGTTTCCTCAGACCCGCTTAAACCCGCGGCAGGGTGGGGAAGGTGGGCGTCTGCTTCGTCACTTAGAAAACGTCTTGAAAACAAAACTGTGACTCCGTGTTCAGCGGTAAATTATTCAGGTGTGGCCTGCCCCTCGCAGAGTTACTGCCAGCGCCCCCTTGACTCTCAGCGTACCCCAGTTCGGACAGGGAAACATGTTTGCGCTGCTCACATATTCCATTGTTTGCTCTGGCTCTAAAAACTCGTAAGAAATGGAGTTTATTAAGGAAAACGTGGGCCCCTGCCTCGACCTGAGTCCTTTCAAAAGTCTTTCAGGCCCCAGAACTCGGGACACCGGCTTTGTCCCTGAGTGAAGCTGGTGCACACGGGCGGCTTTCCGTGCCGTGCGCTGGACAAGGAGGAATCCCTTAGACCTCCGCGTGGCGGGGTGCGAGGTGAAGCCATCCCCCTTCTCGCCCTTGCTTTGGGAGCCGAGAGAGAAGCTGCTCTTCGTGATCTGAAGCAGAGCGAGCCCCGCCTCCCTCTCACTTCCTCTGGTTGCTTCTCTGGCCGTCCAGCCAGCACCCCTTGTCCAGCCACGTCAGGTGGCAGGCGGGCGGGAGGGGCAGCCACATGTGCTTTGTCATGGTTGCTGCGGCAGCTGCCGTGGGAGGGGGTGAGGCGTGTCTGCTTGTGCCCCTTCTCAGCCGAGCCCCGTCTTCTGCTGCCAGCTGCCTGGCCACCGAGCCTCTTTTGGTTCCTATTTTTCTATTGATTGATCATTTAAAAAAAAACTATTAATTTAGTAGTTTGAATTCCACTGCTGATTTTAAACTTTTCTCCTACATGCCCTTCCTAAATTTACCTGAAGCATGAGGAAATCTCTTCTGCTAGCGAGAGTAGCAGGAATGCGCAGAGAACAATGATTTTAAAGATCAAATGTCCAGAAATTAGAAATCCAAACAAACTAATTTTTCATCATGTACGTAACAGCTGCCATGTGCGGGTGCTTTGCTACGGAGCGAGCAAAGGCATTTTCTCTAGTAGCATGGACTTTCCATTCTTCTGGAGTTTTATCCTTCAAATAGTCTCCTGAGAGCATTTGATACTCTTATTTGGAACTCCTCCAGAATCTGCAGACCCCTTTTCTTTCTTTTCCCTCTAAAGTGAAGATAATTTTTTTAAATGATTACAAAAATGATACTCACTGTAAGCAATTAAAACATTAGAAGTGTAAATAAGAAAGTTAGAGTAATCTGAAGTCTGAAGACATCGACCATATCAGAGAAAGAATTGTTTTACCCACACACATTTTCATATAAAGAGCATGCGATTCTACATGCTGTTTTGTTCTCAACATAGTTACGGACATATCTGAAATTTGAAAGAAATGTCACAGAGGCATTTCAGAAGTGTTAGGAATCCCAGAATTACTCAAGTAGTGGGTGGGCAGCATCAGCATTGGGTACCTTGGCATTTTGAAGTCCAAGCGGACGTCCCTGCTCTGTCCCCTCCCATCTCAGCGATGAGCATGTAGAAGAGGGTCCACAAGGAGCACAACTCTTGAGTAAAGATGAAGCGGAAACTTAACCTTTCCATCTCGCCACAACCTTGGTTTCCTCCTGTAGGATTCAGTGAACGGTTCCTTCAGAGGAAAACACCCAGCCCTCCGGGACCCTGGCTGTCCCCGCGGTGGCATCCTAGCCCGGCCCCCTTCCAGCAGGCTGCGGAGTAGAGGGCATCAAAGGGCTCCTCCTCCTTACTGTGTTCACACTCGCTCCTTGCTGGAGGTTGGGGAGTGAGATGTCCCCAGCGATGATTATCTGCTCTTGGGGCCCTGCCCCTGTGACTGTTGATAAGGGGCTGGAAAAGGACAGTCAAGGAAAGAGATGTAACGTTGTTGTCAGTTAACAAAGCAAACCAGCTGGGAAATGTGACTTTATGTTAGTAACTTAGATCTAAAGACGAGAGAACCCTTCAAAGACGGTTTCTGTCTTTCCGAGCCTGGTTGTTTTGCATGTACGATTTTAGTGTGAATAGTTCCTTTCTGATTTTAAATGAATTCACACCTAGTGGTCTGTCTTGGTGCAGAGATGTAGTAGTCATTCCCCATGCTACCATCTTTAAATTATTTCATTTCTGTGAGATTTTCATTATCTTATTTTTTTAAATATAATCTGAGCACTTTTTTATATTCTGAAAGATAGAGGCTATTATCAGATTAAATATATTATTCATTTGATTTAAATTATTTAGATACAAAACTACGACTGTTTGCTTTCAAACAGCTTATCCTATTTTTCATCCATTTTGCAAAATACCAGTTGTGTGTGATTTCTTAACACATCGGACTCTATTATGTAAATGAACCCTTTCAGATTTCTACAGTATGTGGTTTGATTTTATTGGCTTTATATTACTTTAGTATGAATAAAGATGAGAAACAGTATAATGTCCAGTTATCTGAAAATGTATCTTCCTGCCGCTAACTGTAAGAAAAAAAGAAATGAAATGGGAACATTTGGGAAATGCTTAAATTAGAAGTTATTCAAGTGTGTATTCTTTCCCAAAAGAAAATCAGTAGCTATAAGGCAAAACCAGTTTGGTTGCATGTGGTCTCTGTTGCTCTTGTAAATGCTTTTGGAACAGTCCATTTGATAAAGCTTGAATGGAAAAAAAAAAAAATAAAGCTGTTTCCATCTGCAGTGGCTCTTCTGGTCCATGCTTACGTCAGATGTTTTCGTCTTTTAAATTCTCGAATACATTTTACCTGTAGTGACTGTGGGGAAGACAGAAGGGAAGCACTGGCTCTAGAAATCATCATCATTTAATTTTTAGAAATTGGTTTTTGGTTGTTGTTGGAGGTTTTGTTTGAGAACAGAGAGTATTGTGATCCTCATGCGCAAAGCATCTTCAAAAGACACTTTGGATCCCCATTCCATGGCCGCCTACGTCGGAGCACGCGGGCTGCCTTTCTCAGGAGCGAATACAAGTAAATCCGTCTCAGAGCAAAACGTCTAGATTTGCCCAAGATAAATTAGGGAATGGACGTTCTTTCAAAGAGTTTCAAAATAAACCTTAAGTAGTAAGTGCAAATAAATTTTTCTTTGAAATTTAAGTTGACAAATTTCCATCCACATCTCACAAAGCAGAGTGTGCTTTCAGCGTTCGTAATAGTCACAGTGTGTTTATGGAATATGTTTACAAGTGTGCTTGTAGGGTTACGATAAAATAAATCCTAGTTTCCAAGTGACTTAAATATTAGTTTTAATGTCCACTGGTACTTCTTTCCAGAATGGAAATAGCTTTGTTGTTTCTCGTAATTGCAACTGGACAGTGTTTGCCAAAGAACATTTAGACTTTATAAAGTATACTGAAGAAAATAAAAAATCACTTTTAATTCCATTACTACTACCACTATGCTTTGGGATAGATCCTTTCCACTTTTTTCTAGCTACATCTATGTATATGTTTTGTTTATTTTTAAATAAAAATGGAATCACACCATGTATTGTCTTTATAGTTTTTTGTCTCATATGTTTTAGCATCTTAATATATTGTAAATATGAAAACAAATGAAGAAGAATATAATCATTTCAGTGACTGCATAATATTTCACTGTGGGGCCTCCCCGGTGGCGCAGTGGGTTGAGTGCTGCGCTGTGAAGCTGTCCGCAGCCTCTACAGCACGGGTTCGATTCCCAGCCGGCCAGGGAGATTCCCACATGGTGCAGCAGACCTCTCCTGCCTTGACTGCTGCTCCCCTCAGCAGTGTCTTTGGTTCATCTGCCTGTTCTGCTCCCTGCTCTGTCTCTGGTGAATTCTCTCACCTTCCTGTACCTCTGACCTGTACCCCAGTTCTTGTATAAATAAATCTTAAAAAAAAAAAAGATTTATTAAAAAAAAATATTTCACTGTGACATATTCTGAGAAAAGGGACTGAAGACTTGCGTCCCTCCAATGAATGATGGGTGTTGTGATTCACAATAACAGTTGTTTTTTTTTTTTTTTTTAAGATTTATTTATTTATTTATATAAGCGCTGGGTACAATTAGAAGCGCAAGAGGGTGAGATAATTCACCAGAGCCAGAGCGGGAAGCAGAACAGGCCGACTGATGAAATACACTGCTGAGGAGAGCAGCGGGCACACCAGGAGAGGTCTGCGTGCCACGTGGGATCCTCGCTGGCAGCCAGGGATCGAATCGGCGCTGCAGAGACTGCGGGCAGCTTCACAGCCCAGCGCTCAACCGCTGTGCCACTGGGGAGGCCCTTCCCAGTAACAGTTTTTATCAGTTCTTTGTAAAATTTGTAGCATTATTCTTATTCCTCATTTCTGTCTTTCACGGATCAGTTGGGATTTTCTCCTTACCTGAGGGTTTAGGAAATACATAGCTTTTAAATTTAATGACCCTTCTGTCATTGTTACTAAACTAGATATTTTGTGGGAGACACCATAGTCCTTTTACAGCCCCCACACTACTGAAATTTCCACTCTAGAAAATGTGTTAGTTGAAAAAGGTTATTTAAGACAAATTAAGCTTTTGATTCTTCAATTCTTTATAGGATAGAGTCTTTCAAATGGATATGCTGGAAAGGGGGTGGGGGTAACCATACCACCCTTGTTAATATAGCTAAGTTTTTTCCTTTAAAAAAATGGTTTTACTTTGAGTTGCTATCTTCAGTCTGGTCCCACACAAAAAAAATACTTCCTATTAACTTTCAATTAGATCAAAAATTAAAGCTACTGAATTTCACGTTTCAGATTTTTATTGTGTAGAGCGTCAGAATAGCTTTTGCAGATTTTTATGGCTTGATGTCCTCACCCCATCACCTTACTATGCTCCGAAGGAAGCGATTCCAAATAGAAGGCTGTTAAACATAAAACAAACCTAGATTGGGAAATCTTAATGTTATGTGGCATATGTGATTTTTAAGAGTTAATTGCCCTTTAATAAGGCTTTCAGAGTATATGTCTCAGCACCTTGGAGTGAGAGAGAGAGAGAGATGGCCTCACTGCCTGGCGTGCAGAGAGCTGACTGCAGGACCAGTGCGAGGAGCTGTGTCTCTGATTCTTAGCGTTTGATGAAGCCCATAGGCAAGACGCAGTTTTTAAATTCTGTTTATTTAGTTTACTGAGATGTTGCAAGCTGGAGCCATTATGCCAAAAAGGTATAAATGCGGTGCTCGTCACACACATGTCACCTGTCTGACTGTAGGTCATATTCTTCCCCGAGCCTGAATTTTCCATGCTTTTGTCAGCCTATGTCAGGGTCTTAAAATCATTTAACTTAGACCTTTTTTTTTTTTTAATTAGTGTTAAATGAGAACTCATGAATACTTCATGAAGTCCAATTCATCAGACTTTGTTAATTCAGTATTCAGAGAGTCTGAATAGCATCTCTCAACTAATGGAGCTTTTGATCATGAAACAAGACAAACAGCATTTTAGGTTTGTGAATTCAGAGCTTAGGACTCAATTCCCTCCTCAGTGGACAGGTCCGCGTGCTTCTCCAGGGTATTTGAATGCGAAGATGGCCAGATTGTGAACCGCTAACTGTTGCTGATGTTATTTTACTGTCTATTAAAGGAAAGGTGGTCTGTCCTCCTACGTTCACACACGAGCATCTACTATTTAAAGCTTGCTGGTAACAGTATGATTTGTTCTCAGTTTTAACTCAACTGAATAAAGGATCTGGGTTTTTAAGACTGTTACAGATGTCATACACATGGACAAAACTGCCCTCTCTGGAGAGGTGGGCACTGGTCACATTGGGTAATTAAAATTTCAAATTTAATTTCAGTTCTTAAGGCTCGCTAGCCACACTTCAAATGCTGGGGAATCACGTGTGGCCTGTGGCTACCATACCCCTTTCCTGTCTGCAGTAGAACAGGTGACCACAACTAGGGGGGCTTTAAGAAGTCATTTGTGGGCGTCCCTGGTGGTGCAAGGGGTTAAGCACAGCACTATGAAGCTATCTGCAGCCTCTGCAGCATGAGTTTGATCCCCGGCCAGGGAGCAATCCACATGGCGCGGCAGACCTCTGCTGTCTCGCCCGCTGCTCCCCTCAGCAGTGTCTTTGGTCCGTCTGCCTGCTCTGCTCCCCACTCTGTCTCTGGTGAATCCTCTCACACACACCCCCCCACATCTCTGGCCTGTACCCCAGCTCTTATATGCATAAATTAAAAAAAAAGTCACTTGTTCTCTGGAGGCTGGAAGCTCAAGATCAAGCTGTGGGCAGGTCAGGCTCCCTTGGGTCTGGGAGGAGACTCCTCTGCCCCCTCAGCTGTGGGTGGTTGCTGGCCTTCCTTGGTGTTCCTTGCCCAGCAGCGCCATCACTGCACACTCTGCCTTGGTGCTCACGTGGCCATCCTTCCTCTGAGGATGGCGGTCATATCAAAGAAACTTTTTGGTGGGGGCCAAGGGGTCCCCACCATCCAGTGTGACCTCATTCTAATACATCTTCATCCAGCTGCCGAGACCCTAATTCCAAATTAGATCAAATCTGGGGTTAGGACTTCACCCTATCTTCTGGAGGACAGAAGTCAACACACAAGAGCTGCCTTGTTGGATGGAGCACGGGCCAATTTTATTTATTTGTTTGTTTATTTATTTTTAAAGATTTATTTATACATACAAGAACTGGGGTGTAGGCCAGAGGTGTTGGGGGGGTGAGAGGATTCACCAGAGGCAGAGTGGGGAGCAGAACAGGCAGACTGACTGACACACACTTCTGAGGGGAGCAGCGGGGAGACAGGAGAGGTCTGCTGTGCCATGTGGGTAGCTCCCTGGCCAGGGCTCGAACTCGTGCTGCAGTGGCTGTGGATAGCTTCATAGGTTGCGCCACCAGGGAGGCCCCACAGACCGATTTTAAAAAATTAAAATGTGTCATGGTTTGATCGTTTCTATAAAGGTTTATAGCAAAATACCATGGAACTATTACAGCGGAAGGTGGGGCAATTTGTTTTGTCACTTTCTGGTTTCTCGTTTGTCATTTTCACTGCGCCTTTGAGTTCCATTTCCAGTGCCGCTGCACGTATGTGTGAATCTAGTGTCTCAGGACCGTGGGCTCTGTCTCCTGTGATAACTGTCACATCATTAGATTTACAATTAAACTATATACAGAGAGAACAAAAACAAAGCAAACAAAAAAAAAGTTTCTTTGAGGAACAATTTCAATGACTGAACGATTAATTCAGAAATATTTACACTGGATTTCTGCTATTTTATTATTTCCACTTTTTATATTGTGTCTTGAATTTTCTTATGTGTTTCTGGTTGCTCTAATTGTTTATTTTCATCAAATCATAGAGAAACTTGTTTAATACACTTATCGATAAAAATCTCTGGCTCTATGACAATAAAAGGATTAAAGTGCATCTATCTACCCAACAATATCCAGGGACCTGACTTCTTTAAAGTGGGAGAAATACAAAAGTGAACAATGATGTAAAATAAATAAATATATTTTAAAAAATAAATAAAATGGGAGAAATAAATCCTGATTCCCACCCCTCTCACACTGCTTAATACACAGTTGACGGTTAACTCACAGGAGCAAGTCAGCCCAGAAGACAGAGTAGATTGATTAGCAGCCCTGCCTTTCAAACACTTTTTATTTCTTTATTATTGTATTTTAAGCATAATTTTAATTACTGCCCTCCATCATAGCCTGCTCCTAACGAAAACTGCCTGTCGGTGGGCTCCACTCAGAAATCTTCAGGCGTCTCCGTAGAGGCCTATCATCAGACAGAGATGTTCGTGTGAACTTACTTCACAAACACGGTGTACTTTCAGCCAGGGCCGGCCGTGGGGGACAGCGGAAGAGCCTCTGGGGCTGGGCATCGGCCCCCAAGACGCCTCGTGCCATGAGGGTCGACGTCTGCAGGCGAGTAGGCCTGTGCTCTCCTGGCTCCCTGCAACTGTGCCTGTTCCTGAGAGCCACACTGTGGCTTATTCCATATGCTCTTTTATGCAGAAAACCAGCAGAGCGTCAGCGTGTGGCCAGCTGTGTCAGGAAGGGCCCGTGTCTGCAACTGCTGAGCTCATGCTCGAGGTCACTGATGCTCTGGTCATGTCACCAGAGATTCTGTGGGGAAAGTTCGGGAGTCAAGGAACCCAGTCGAGAGGAAAAAATCTGGAGAGCAGTTTGAGCTTAGTATAACAAGTGCATGATTCACTTCTATTGCCTCTTCCCTGCCTCGGCTGAGATACGGAAACTGCTACATGTCAGCATTATCGGTGAGTGATGACGAATCGTGGGCCTCACTTATCTGCAGGTTGCTTATCCAGTCACTTCGCCATCTGGAACATAAATGGAGTATCAGGAAGTCGGGCAAAAAAAAAAAAAGGAAAGACACAAAGTGCCTCTTGGCTAGAATGAGCTGCAATAGCTGGGATCCAGGCATGAACCACACTCACGCCTTGCTCACAGGAGAGCTTCTGAGGCCACGGGGCACCAAGAGCAGAAGGTTTGGGGGCCAAAGTCAAAGGATCAAGCGA